TGTTTTTTGTAAACTACTCTGAAACCAATTTTAATACTGTAAAAATAATATGATCATCTAAAGAAATTTATAACCTTTTTATAAATGTACTTTAGTAACTTATACCTTAAATCAATTTTTCTCTATAGATATTTTAATCGAGTGAAATAACTACAACGCGTGTATTTTAGATACGGCCCGGCGGACAGTGTGATTTTATGACGTCACGCGTTTTACGTGACTTATAAATAATCACCGAAGCAATTGTCTGAAAAAAATTTTTATACCACCAAAATTTTTCTTTTTTTAAGCACTACATTTTCACACAATAAAAAAAAAAATAGGATTTTTTAGTTGTACAGTCCTTTAAATTATCCATTAACGCTTAGCATAATACCATTAAATTATTTTTCTTTAAGTAACAGACTTTTTAAACAATAATAGCAATTACATAAAATGTATTACATGTCTTAATATTCTTATAATTAAGCAACATATCCAAATTATAGATACATTATTATGTTATTTAAGTTTAAAAAATATAATTCGATGTATCTTATTTCAGATTTGAATACCTACTTATAAATAATAAACATTTTTTTGTAAATTTGTTTACTTGAGATAAATATTTTATAGATACTCTAAAAATAATAAAATTAATAAATTAAAAGTGAAAATGGYCACGAAAAGCTACAAGTTTACTGTAACTTTTTACATTGATTACATAATTAACCAGACCATGTTTATACAATTATACAATGTATAATATGTAATATATACATAATTTATTAACTGTATATAATCACATTTCTTTTTAATTAAAATTATATCAATTTTATTTTGTTCAGATATTATGTTTTTTTTTTTTTTTTAAAGCCGGGTTCACACGTGTCAGTCAAAACATTCTTTATAACTGATGACGCAATACTCATCATTAGAAATGTCGCAAAATAGAAATAATTTCTATATGACTGATAACCAATTTTGAWGATTCAGTCATACTGAAACAAGTGTTCACACGTTCATAACTTGTTCAGTTTTGATGAATCAGTCATACTGAACGTTTTGACTGACACGTGTGAACCCGGCTTAATGTTCATGTATCATAATAAAAATTAACCCAAGCCAAATCACGTTAATCAAGTAGTATATAAATATTTTTAACACTTACGGTGAAAAATGATGTTCAGAATTTTCGTTGTTTATGGATTCAGTAACAGCAGAGCGATCTTCTTCTCTTATTAAATCCCATTCAAATGGTTCTAATGGTGTTTTAAAATCTAAAAAACAAAATATTAAAATAAATAGTAAGTTCTGCTTTTAAAAATAGAAATAAAAATCTATTTATTTTAACTGTTTTTTTTTTTTTTGGAGTCAAATAAATATTATTTATAATATAGATATTAAACAAGATTATTATTAATAATAGATTTAAATATAGGTATTGAAAATTAATAAAATAAAAATAAAATATGAACCTTTATTTAGATTTCCAAAGTTAGGTGGTACACTTGGTCGATGCATATTGACATCTTCTTCAATAGTTTCAAGAATGCTATTTGAAGAAAATGTATTATCAAGTTTTCCACCCCAAGTTCTTCTTCGCTGATACCCTTTCTAAGATTATATAAAATTAGGATGTACTATTTAGCGAATAAAAAAAAAAAATTAAAAGATCTTATTATTACTTTATTTGAGGGTTGATCTGAGTGAGCAACAGAAGTTATCATATTGTTTTGCAAACGCATTATACGTTCTTTTAACTCTTCATTAGTTCGTTTTTCTTCCTGATACTTATATTTAATTTCATTAACTTCATCATTTTCAGGCTGATTTTGTTTTAGACCCTCCAATTCTTTGTTCAATTTAGAAAGTTGAACTCTATAACGTTTTAGAAGTGTTTCGTCTGTGACATTTTCATTTACTTTRGCAGAATTTTTAATTTTTTTGGCACGAGAGGCAAAACTAAACAAAATAAGTAAAGAAACATAAATATACAGGAATACAATTTAGGAATTGAATTATGTTTTAATAGGTACCTCAATGTGTTAGATGTCTGATCTTCAACTGCTAAAGTTACAGTACAAATAATTGCAGTTAAAGAGTTTCCTCCAAGAGATGTTTGTAATATTCTCGTAAGTTTACTATCCCGGAAATTGACATGCTGTGAGCTTCAAAATATAAATTTAAATTACATCAATTATCATAACATGCAGATCATGCATATATTTTCTATGCTCATATCATATTATGGAGATAAAACTATACATAATAAAACAATACTCTATTAGCACGGCTATTGAGAAAACGCTTCTGGGCAGCAACCAAAACTCATAAGTTTATGTGCATATCCACCACTAAACCTGCCAAAATGCTAGCTGCTGATAGTSTTGTTGCTTTTATTAGCAATTAGGTGGTATAGTGGGAGAAATTTGGGCATGAAACCAAGGAGCTCGCTCGATCATTTGGATGCGCCAAGGAGTAGCACTCTCTCAGTGGCAGTAGCATAGTATAGATTAAAATAAAAATAATTTACCTATCTGGACATTCACTGAGTTGTTGGATAACAAGACTTAGAGTTGTTAGAGAACTATTAATCTTGCAACCTTCTTTAAACCGTTCCATAGATGACTGAGTTTGACTACTTCGCTCTGAACCAGCCAAATCAACTAAATTAATCACTGATTGTTGGTAAGCCCCATCACAATCATCATCTACATTACGACTTTCTAGAATCTAAACAACAAATTGTAATGAATAATAACAATAAAATTAAAATCAATTAAAAAAACTATTCTCTGTCTTAAGAGAGAAAGGAACCACATCTCAAAATCCCTCACACTTCACATCGCATCATCATCAACACCACTACACAGTGCATGTGAGACAGAAACTAGCTATGAGAGACAGAGGATTAGTGAGTTAACATATTATGCCTGTTTATGTAYGTAAATTACTAGTAGAGGGGTTTGATGGCTAGGTAGCAATGTGGAGCTCAGTCTGCATGCACAAAACAGTACCTTTTCTCTTGAGACAGATTATATATTTAGGTGTTTTACATTAAATTGATTTGAGCAAGTACCAATTATATCAAATTAATACTTTTACTTTCAATTTAAATGGGTAATAAAGACTAATATAAATGTAAATCTTAAAGTGCTTATAAACTGCTATAAACTAAGTAGAAAGTAACCCACAGTGACAGACACATATGAAAATTATATTATTATTATCATTATTTGCTGGCATTAATGTATCAATAAAGAAAATTTAAATGCAAATAACTGATACAGTTCACTCTCTTTATTTCWAAATTAAAAAAGGTATTTTTATTTTAACAAGATATTTCATCATAAATGTTGCTAAAATTAAGTTATATTAAAACAGCATAAACCCTAACATTAATTAAAAATGAACTAATTCATTAATTTTATTAATATGCTTAATAAGAGTTTAGTTTTTACAAATAAAATGTATGTTTTATAATTTTTTTTAAAAGTCAAAAATACTTACAATGCGAAATATTGTATGGGATCTTGATGATCTTTCATTCATATCTGTTTCTCCAATACTCCTGTTTTTCTCACCTATTTTCATAAGATCGATAACCTGAAAATATATTTAAATTATGAACTAAATAATTATAAGCTAATAAACTAATGAGCAACAAAAAATGATTTTATAAATATACCATTTGTGAATTTTGACAAACTATAGCCTTTAATGGTGTAATATGTAATCCATCTTTTTGAATTTSAATTTTTTTTGTTTGATTTTTGTTATTTTTTTTTTCCAGTAAATCTATAACTTTTTCATTGTAAATTTCTAAGTAACAAGCTCTGTAAAGTAAATTATTTTTATTCATTTAATAATAATATACAATTTTTATTAAATTAAAGATAATAAGCAATTATTTACACTATACCTTAATAAATATTCTCTACTAGAAGAATTATTCATAACATTGAACATGTAGTTAATAGCTAATGGAATAATTCCAGGGTTTGACTGATCTCCAGACATAGTGAATGTTTTACCAGAACCAGTTTGACCATAGGCAAATACTGTACCATTAAACCCTTGCACTCCTCTGTCAATAATTGGTCTGACGATATCATCAAACACGTCATAATTTGTTGATTTATCACAAAAAACTCTATCTAAATTTAATCAAACAATGAACATATTTTAATACATTGAGTACAACAACAGTGGCATAGTGAACGAGGTTTTATGACACCTAGGTACCATGGCAGAAATCAATTTTTTTTTTTTGGCGGGGGTATAGGGATATTGGTTACATTATAGTAAAAAATAACATTGAAAAAAAAATTAATGTATCTATGTATTATAATATTTAAAAAATATTTACAGTCACATGATAATTATATCTTTRATTTTATATTAAGAGGATTAAAAGTGGGTAGGTACTGTTCATCATAGTGTATAAATGTTCACCACACCAGTGCACAAATATATTAATATTTAAATTATCTTAAATCTGATAAACCTATTTCAATAAATAGAACACAAAACCACTGACCCACAATGATGTCAAATATACAGAGAGGTATTAATATTAAATAATTGTGTTGACAGTACTCTGTAGATTTTAAATAAGTACCCATCTAGGTACTACCAATGTTAATGATTGCCATTTTTTAATCATTATTCATTGAAGATGATAGATTATCATACTAATAATATACATAACGACCTATTAATTTACATGTGGCACATAAAAATTTGTAGAAACAAGTTAAATGCCAGTTAACTTGTTTCTAAAAGCAATATTTGTAAACTAATTAAATACAAGTGTAATCAACTAAAGCACATAAAAGCACCTATGTGCTTGATGTATTGAGGTGTATTAATATGTCCCAATATCAAGTAAATTCAAACAAGGATATAATATTATTTARTGGCCAATATGCCGAAGTGGGAATAAAGTCAATCAGCAGCAAAAGTTAACAAAAAATATTACCTACCAAATATAAACATTTTATTTTTAATTGACTCCAACCAAAAAACAGTCATTTAAATAAAGTGTCATTTATTTTTACGTTTCAATAAAATGTTAGGTATTTCAATCTATTTTTATTTTTCGGCGTGTCAAAAGATAAGAATGTGTTTTTTAGTTCACCTCCGAGAAATGTACTATAATGAATAAGAGCTAAAAAAAACTCATTCCCACCTTTAAAGTTTGACTTTTACGAATATATACTATTATACTCAAACAGTATGTAACCAACAACTGAAAGGGTTAAAAACATATAAGTTGAGAAAAACAAACGTAATTTTACCGAAAAAAAATTGTTCTCCGTTCTTCTTTTTAGTTATTGGATCAATGTGAATAACACTGTCCGATTCTATTTTCCAATAAACGCGATCGTCCAACTGTTCTTTATGGTTTAATGGACGGGCCTTGATGGCCACTTTAATGTTGCAACTATCCATAATATTTCGGCGTTATTATTTCACACCGGCAGATTTCATTCAGTGGCTTTAAAATGTAAGGGTAATCAAAAAAAAAATACCTAAAAAAATCACTAGAGAAACGTTAAAAAAAAATACAATAACACTTAGACATCAAACGACAGACATAACTGAACACAGTGAACACGAAGTACAAGATACAACGATCTACTTTACGTCAATCCAACAACTCTCCGTTCAGTAGTTCAGAATCCCGAAATCCGTTATCCGTAGTAATTCATACTAAACTGAGTAAACCGCCTAAACTATTCGCTCTAAA